AAACTTGGATCGGAAATGTCTTGTCGCTGTTGATTAAATACCTCAGAAGCGCAGTCGCACAAACATTTCCTCTGTAGCAGAAATGTAGCGATTTTAAGAAAAATCTTATTTGTTTTTCAAAATTCATAAGAAAGCTCTGAATTGATATTTCAAAGATTGACCTGCTGCGGTTATCTAAGCCGATTTGGGTATTGAGTTCAAAATTTCGCGTTTRTTACATTAAATTAATTTTCCTGCGTAAGAATTCATTCACATTTTTTCACACTGGATCTTATTCAAAGTTAAACGTCACAAATAGTTTATCGARCTGCGTTGCGTTTCTTGTGTTGCTCATACGTCACGGCGTACACTGTGTGTGTTTGCTATTTTCGCCGGAACTGCCATTATTCCGCTGTTCATGTGAATGTTAAGTTAATGTGAATGTACAGTTGTGAGTTGTCTTTACGAAAGCAATTTTAATTTCTTAGTTACACACTCATTGTGCGCACTTCCATTTGCTGCGCTCATTCAACTATGCTGAAAATTGAAACTTGACGCATAAGCACACATGTTTTCGCTACTTATATATGGATGTGTGTGTACAAGGCGTCGAAATACTTCGCAAGTATGAAAAATCAACAGAGCAGTTCAATTTGAAAAGTAAATTTCTGCAGCGCCAACTCCAAAGTTCACAGGGTTATTGCGGGTGCGAAGGACGGCGGCAGTAAATTTCTTAAATTTCGTCGGCTTTGCGTAAAAATCAAATTTCCTTACTCTTGACTATATTTAGTCGCGGCAAACTCACTTCACAGACTCTTGACATCTGATCTTTTGGCGTAGRAAAAGGAAAATATTTATATTGTTATAAGAGCTTTGGTCACTTTTCAGTAGCCGCTGAGCTTAAGTAGGCCTAAGCGTGTGTTGAGGGTTGCGAAATTGGTACCTTATAAAAAAAAAAAAACGATGAACTCAAGGCAAAAAAAAAATAAAAAATTCAACAAGGTTGCCTAAAGAACAACAAAAAAAAAATCTAGAAAATTAAGCAAAAGTGCAAAGTAGATTTAGCATTGTGTGTGGGTGGTAAGCCGAAATAATACATTCCGTTTGTGTTTCATATAGTTCAGCTTCGCGAGAAATGTAACTCTGAAATGCTCTTAGTTGGATTTGTGTGTTGTAACTCCTCTCAAACTTCACACATATGTATATAAACAAGAATGACCAGTACTGGTTACCATTAGAGTTTAGGACCTCGAAGCCTTATTTAATAGCAATATATTGGGTAGTCGAAAAAGTCTTTTCGTATTTTRTCAATAGATGTTGTTGCAGTCGTATATCTCCAGTGCTACCACTCACATTGTATCATACCATATAGTGTTGGAAAGGTGAGATTTTAAACTTCATTTACGTAAAAAAACTAAATTTGGAAAAGGTGAAATAAAGTTACAGCTTTTCAAAAATGAGTGAAAATATTGAACAAAATCGCTATATTTTGAAATTTTTGTATAAAAAATGGAAGAATGCCACACWAGTCAATGAAATTTGTGAAGTATATGGAGACGATGCTGTATCAGTTCGTGTAGCACAAGAATGGTTCGCTTGATTCCGTTCTGGAAATTTCTATGTGAAAAATGCACCCCGCTCTGGTCGACCTGTCGTTGGAAAAATCGATGAAATTATGGAAAAGATTCACCAGGACCGCCACATAACCAGCCAAGGCAATGCCAAGGAACTTAACGTTCATCATCAAACGGTTTTGAACCTTTTAAAAAAGGCTGGCTACGAAARGAAGCTCGAAGTTTAGGAACCACTTGAATTGTCTGTGAAAAATTTAAAGGACCGAATTAACATCTTTGCTGAAACGGTCTAAAATCAAATTGTTTCTGAAGCGAATAATAACAGGAGACGGAAGGTGGATCAAATACGACAATAATGTGCGAAAGAGGTAATGGTCCAAGCGTGGTGGAGCTCCTCCAGGATTGACGTCTCGAAAGGTTTTGCTGGTTTTGATGGGATTGGAAAGGAATCATTCACTATGAGCTGCTGTGGCCTGGTCGATGAATTGATTCTACATTTTACTGTCAACAACTGGTGAGCTAGAAGCAAACTATCGAAAAAACGGCCAGAACTGATGAACAGAAAGTCTTAGTCTTCTATCAGGACAACGCTAGACCACACAAATATTTCATGGCTCGGGAAAAACTGGAAGAGCTTATCGGGCCTGACCTTGCACCATCGGACTATCATTTGTTTCGGTCAATCCAGAACTCCGTTAATAGAGTAAAGTTGGCTTCAAAAGAAGCCTGTGAAACTTGTTTCACACTGATGGCATAATGGCTGTAACGGAAAAATGTCAAAGAGTGATCGACCGAAAAGGTACATATTTGGTTCATGGAAGTTCATTGTAAAAAAAAAAGTTGAAGTTTGATTAAGAATATGAAAAGACTTTTTCGACTACCCAATATTTTGAGAATCATTACCTTTCTCTGTAGAGGCCTTGCGGGATGTGAAAGTTTTAATATTATACTGTCTTAATTACCGTTTTTTATTTTAATTTGGTTTTGTCACAAAAWGCGAAGCATGTGAAACGACAATAATCGCTTGAGCTATAAGAACCAAAATGTAACAGGTTTTCTTACTCACCTTCTACGGCATAATTTATCCTTATAAGTAGATTTGTAGACATGTTCAAATGGGAGTGTTATTAACAAAGGAGTGAAAATTGAATTTCAATTTCCCATCAAATCACATCTCTTGCTCCGATGTGCGAAAGCCTGCAATTCAGTCAACATTTATTTTCTCGATTGAAATGAAACCAAAAGTGATTCAGTTTTTTTACAGACAGTTTATTTTCAAATATTATATATTGCCAGCGTTTCTAGTTACAGTTATTMACATTATTATCATGTTTTTGTTGCTGTGGTTGACGCGCATTCATTTGCTAGTTTCACAATCAGTTGCGCTCAAAATGCTCCAAGAGCGTGTGTGAACTAGCCGTGCACACTTAATCTATTTACAAAGTTATTAACAAGGCCGGGATTCAAGACGGTCCTGTGGGCTTATGCGCGTTCACAATGGCACCACAAAGTCCCGTTTTCAGGAGGAGCGCAATGCGYGCAACAAAGTCGAAAAATAAGCTWAGCACACTAATCTACTTAGGCGTATTCAAATCTCCAATCGGGAACATACATACATACAATAGAAATGCGATTGCGATAACTGAGCTTTATGAGCCTTATATACATTTATATACTATGTATGAGTGTGCGCATTACATAAGTGACTATGTGATAACCTACACACTTACATATGCCGACAAAAAGAACGCCGAATGCACAAAAATATTCAAATTTTTAACTTTTACTTATTTTGTATATACATATATGTATGTACAGTTAGATGAGTAACATGGTTCATTGCTTAAATGTATGTACTAACAATCACGGACAAATACTTACACAAACGAATTTAGAAATACTTTTGATTTTTGACCTGCGATTGCACGACTGAGACTTAAGTTTACAGTTATATATATATGTATGCACATAGGTTCAATTAATGTCCACTTATAAGTAGGTATATGTATATAGTTGTTCCCAAGACTATCAGAAGACTTTGCGAGTTCTTAAAAAACGTAGTAAATCATTGTAAATGCTATTAAAACTTTGTTTTTGTGTCTCTTTAAAAGCGTATCGTTTACTTTCACTTAACTTATGCCACTACAAACTACATACTTACTTACAAGTACAAGTATATTTGTTAGTTGATTCTCTCTCTCAATATATATGCCATATATGCGGTATGCATAGTTGTGTGTGTACATATGTATGTATGTGCCACCGCTATACATTTGTGTGTGTAACAAAAGTAGATTTAATGACGAAAAATCCTTTAATTGGCTTTTGGAAGATGGCTGGGACATGTGACTTGTGTCCAGATTGTCAGCGCGCTGTAGCTATTTAGCTGTCGGTAGGTGGATGTGTGGGTGAGCGGGTGAACGGGTTGGCCGCAGTTGGTGAGGCAGCGCAGGAGGGCAGCGAAAGAGARGAAGAAGAAAGCATTGGAGACCTAATTAACACCAAAATCTTCCAAGTGCGTTATTTACTTTCGGGTTAATGAGATTACACACACATACTGATATGACACCCAGACTCACACACACACACATACTCGCATACAGGCGCGCAGCTTATATACACACAAGCGCAAAGTAGAGTTGAGATGCGCTGTAAAGTGTGTGACAGCAACCATACCTCGGTGAGCATGAGTGTGTTCATGTGTGTGTGTGTGTGTGTGTGTGTGTGTGTGTGCGAATGGTTGTGCGCTCATGTGTTCAAGTTGGTTTCCCGTTTTCGTGAGGACACAAAATGCAGTTTTAATTAACTTTGTGCACCACCGTCGAGAAAGCCAACTTTTCAGCAAACATACTCACACACACTCTCACGCACAGAGTCACAGCGCTGCGACTGCTCACGAGTCACGCCATTCATTCGTTCCGTTACTCAAATAAGGAAATGAAATTGGCACATGCTGCAAAATAAACGAAATGCCACTGCACGCACACACACTTGCATACATATACATAGTATAATGTTATATAATAAATATAGACAGTTGCAGCAGCCACTGCAACCAAATGACTGCCTGCAGAGCTCGCCACTTGGCGGTGACGAGCTGCTTGTTTACCTTTAAGTATCGAACTTCAGTTGCTATCAAATCACAAATTCGGTGAGTTGCTATTTGTAYGTGTGTGTGTGTGTGTGAGTGCTTATTGCTTGTTGGTTTGCATGTGCTTGGCCGTTATCAGTCGGTTGTACGATTTCCTATGGTCGGTCACCCTCAGAAACTTAAGCTGCAATAAATTAACAGACATATTAAGTTGTTATTATTTTTGTTGAACAAATGCCGAGTTTATTTATCAAATTAAAGAAGTGTGCTCTTAATTATGTTTTGTAGACATAATATATTATATATGCATCAAAGAACTGTCACAAATTAATGGGAAGTTGAATTTTAGTGACACTTTCACTCGGCTTGCACTCCTGCTCTCTGAGAGCACTAGTCAACAACTCGGTATAAGGGAACTGTGGGRCGGCATTTTAAGCTCCTTACGTACAGCTGAAAGCGAAACCAGTGGTTTTYAGAGAAAGCAAAAGAACAGCTGGTACGACAAAGAGTGCTGGGTCGCAGCGAAGGCTATACAGACTGCTTACCTCGCAACGTTCCTATCGACTACAACACGTGAGGGATGGATCATTCAACTTTATTGCAAAAATTAACTTTACGTCGAGGTATTAAATTGAAAGCGTACAAAAAACAGATTGTGCAAACACTGAAGCTGCTCGACCTCCTCAAGCAACTTCACTTCGATTTATGGGCGCTTGAAAAGTTCCACGATGATCCGAGATTTTCAGGCCAACTTCTGGCTACTTCTAGTTCAAGCACTGGTTCATATTTCTTCGAAAATRATGCCGATTAGAACGCTACCATCAATAGCGACCATTATCACGCCATGATAACCGACTATTTGATACCTGAAATTGAAGCTCGTGATCTCGTCGACATTCGGTTTCGACAATACAGCGTCACTTCACACACATGGCATCCAACAATGGATTTATTGAGAGAACACTACGGTGAACAGATAATTTCATGTTTTGGG